AGAAGAAAAAAGAAAGAAATTAAGAAGAGAAGAACAAACAATTGAAAAGAGGAGACAAAACAAATTAAGCATTTTTCTCTTTTCTATATACCAGCAGAAATGATTCCTGGTACTAAAAAAAGAGAAAGAAAAGATTATGTACCATGAATAAGTGAGTTTCATCCCAGGGATGCAGGGATAGTTCCACATGGGTAAATCAATAAAATTAATATGCCATATTAACAAAGCCAAGGACAAAAATCTTATGATCATCTTAATAGATGCAGAAAAAGCTTTTGTCAAAGTCCAGCAGCCATTCATAATAAAAACTACAAAAAATGGAAATAGATGGCCTTTATCTCAATCTGATAAAAGCCATCTATGACAAACACCCAACATTATAGTAAATAGATAAAACCTTAAAGCTTTCACTCTAAAACCAAGAACAACGCAAAGATGCCCACTGTCACCACTCTTACTCAACATAGTTCTGGAAACATTTAGTAATTAAACAAGAGAGAGAAATAAAAGAAATAATGATAAAAAGAAATTAAATTATCATTCACAAATGATAGGATATACTACATGGAATACCCCAAAAACTACTGAAAAAAAACCTTGTGGATTTAATAAGCAAATGCAACTGGTTATAAAGTCAATACTCAGGGCTGGGAGATAGCTCAGTGGGTTAAGTGCCAACTTGGCAAGTGCAAGGTCATGAGTTTGATCCCCAGTACTGAAGAAAAAAAAAAAAAAAAAAACAAAGTCAACACTCAAAAATCAATAACCTTCCTATACACAAACAGTAAACTCAGAGAGAGACTAGGGAAACCACACTCAGGACAGTAAGTAGCATCCAAAACAAAAATGAAATACTTGGGAATATCTAACAAAGAAAGTAAAAGATCTATACAGTAAAAAATTACAGTATTCTGAGAAAAAAAGATCAAAGAGTATGTCATAAAATGAAAAGATATCCCTTACTCTTGGGTATAAAGAACCAATATAGTGAAAATGGCCATACTTCCAAGACTGTTACACAGATTTAATGCAATTCTGATTAAAATTCCCACAGCATATTTCACGGAATTAGAAAAAAAAAGTCATAAAATTCATTTGTTACAGAAGGAGACCTAGAATAGCAAAGGCAATTCTGGGCAACAAAGGCAAGGCAGTGGGCATCACAGTCTCTGACTTGAAATATATACTACAAAGCTACTGTGATAAAATCCACATTGTACTGGCACAGAACCAGACCTGAGAATCAGTGGAACAGCTTAGATGATACAGACACAAATATAAACACACTCACCTATTATCTTTGACAAAGGAATCAAACACCTGCACTACAAGAAAGCTAGCCTCTTTAAAAAATGGTGCTTGAAAGACTTTGGACCCATATCTTTCACCATGCAGGAAACTAAATATGAAATGGATGAGAGATCTAAATGTTAAAATAGAAACATTAAACCTGCCAAAAGATAAAAGAAGTGAAACTCTTGAAGACATTGGTGTAGACAAAGACTTTATGAATGAAATCCTGATCACACAGGCACTATCACAAATAACCAACAGCTGGGATCTCATATTATTAAAATGCTTTTGCACAGCAGGAGAAACCACCAACGGAGTGAAGAGACAACCCACAGTGTGGGAAAAATGTCTGCCAGCTGTTCCTGAGACAGAGGATTGCTATTGAGAACATAAAGAACTAAAATAAATCAGACCTCCCTTACTTAAGGACCTAATCCAAAAATTGGTGAGGTGAATGCATGGTTCTCAGATAAAGAAATGCAAACAGCAAATAAATATATCAGAAAATGTTTACAGCCACTCGTCATTCAAGAGATGCAAATTAAAAAACTGAAATTCCATTTCAACCTGGAAAGAATGGTTAGCATTAAAAAAAAATTGCAACCAATAACAAATGCTACAGGGTCTGTAAGAAAAAAGAACCCTTATCCACTGTTGGTGGGAGTGAACAGTGCAATCACTGTGGAAATCAGTGTGGAATTTCCTCAGAAAACTTGGATTGGAGGTCCCATTTGACCCTGTTATTCCCTTTTTAGACATCTTCCCAGAAGAATTGAAAACCTCCTACCACAGTGATATATGTGCACCCATGTTTATTACAGCAGCACAATTTGTGCTAGATCTTTGAAACAATACAAATGTCCATCAGCCGAGGAATGGATAAAAATATGTGGTCTTTTTGGAGTATTACTCAGACATAAAAAAGGACAGACTGAGACTTTTATAGGTAAATGGATGCAATTCAAGACCATACTCATAAGTGAAATAAACCAGATGCACATATGCAGATATCATATTGTCTATACTGAATAAGTAGAATCTAAAATGTACAAGAGATAGTATGAATTGGGAAGAAACTTTGAAAAGGGAGAGGAGAAAAATGTAGGGAAAAGTAATGCACAAAGATAGTTAAGGTACAGGCTAGCCAGATAGCTCAGCGGATTAAAGCGCCTTCTTAGGCAGACTCAAGGACTGGGATTCGGTCCTCCCACCTGCAGTGCTGGCCCTGCCCCCAGGATGCCCTGAGACAGCGAATGAGACTGGGCATAGTGGCACCTGCCTGTATTCCCATCTCTTGGGAAGCTGAGAACAGAAGGATCACTACAAGGCTGATCTGTGTAATGAGACCCTGTAGATGCAGTACTAAATACAAAAAAAAAAAAAAAAAAAGATAAGATAAACTACTGATTGCTTTTAGAGTTCATTCAAAAGAAACGTTTGTGCTAATATTTAGACTATTAAATGTCTGTATCTTGTACTCTCAATAACTAATAAGATAACAATATGCAATATATTAACCATTGTTATCCTCTTTTTATCTTATTTTAAAGTAAATATTTTTAAATAGAATTTTTTAAATTAAAATAAATGTAATATACCATAGTAACAGAGCCAAAGATACAAATCATATGATCATCTCAGTAAATGCAGAAAAATCTGCCCGGGCCTGCCGTACACTGAGATGGCAATTGAGATTGGGCATGGTGGTGCATGCCTGTAATCCCAGCTCTTGGGAGGCTGTAAACAGGCGGATCACTACGAGTCCGATCTAGTAGTGAGACCCCGAACACCCTGTAGACCCTTCCCTAAAAATATAAAAAAGAAAAAAATCTTCTGTTACAGGTGGTATTGGCTTGGGAAGATTATCAATAGATGTTTTATAGAGGGAAGATGTTTTGACAGGGAGCAGAATATTTGCATAGTATGAATTTCTTCCAATGTATTGCTGCTTTGGTTATAAAGGGGGAAATAGCAATTCTTAAATAGAAAAACAGCCGGGCAGAGGATCTATAAATGTGATCCCCTGGGCTTCTGAATGCCCAAAGAAGCAACAGACATCACCTGTGTCATACTCATATGTTAAGTGCAGTGCATGACCTGAATTTCATCATAAGGAATATCAGACAAGACCAACAGGAAGAATTTTGTATTTTAATTAAAAGTGGCCTGTGTTCTTAAAAATGTCAATGTCACAAAAAATGGGTTAAGTATGGTAGGACAAGAAGAAAGAACTATCCCACACTAAAGAGAACATAGCAGCAAAATTCCGCATGTGACTCAGGGCTGTGTCCTTGAATACAAGTAAAAACACGTTTAAAAGGAGATAACTGGTGCAATTGCCAAAGCTGGATTATGGATAATAGATGAGATTAAATGTATTACATTGCTGTTGTGCTTCCTAAGTCTATAGCTGTACTATGATTGTACTAGAGAATGACCCATTCTTTTTTTCCCATAATTTTATTGATAAACAAATAGCAATGAGACAGTTTCAAATCAAATTGGTAGGATAGTTTTAGTAATTAACACATTGCATACATTCTTCCTAGTGGTTAATTGCTGTACAAGATGCAGACATGATATCCTATTTACAAACACCATTAGAACAAATCATTCTAGTCATTCAGAGAATGTAACTATATATCTATCCTAACCACTTTGAATACACAGATACAAAATGGACATTCATCTGTATACCCTTTTTTGTTAAGTTCCGTTATTTGAATATTATAGGTGTGTTAACTCAGCTAAATATTCTAAGAGAGTCCAGTAGCCCATAATAGTATTGAGTCTTCTGCTTGACTGGCAATGTCAGAAATTGTTGACCTGAGCCCCCTACAGCTCAACATAACACCATGGCTTTACTTCTTATATTTCATTTTTATACTTTTCTGCTGGATGGTTAAGACCACGGTAAAGCAGGACCTATGCAACAAACGTTGTAGCTTTTGGGAGAATGACCCATTCTTAAGAAATACATAGGGGCTGGGGAGATGGCTCAATGGAATAAGCACTTCCCTGGCAAGTGCAAGGTCATAAGTTCAATCCCCGGTTCCACCAAAAAAAAAAAAAAGAAAAAGAAATACATCGTGCAGTATTAGAGAGTAAAGGGACATTATGCCTACAACTCATTCTCAGATGATTCAAGAAAGTAGTCGTAAAAAAAAATTAAAATTAAAATTAAAAATTAAAAAAAAGTAGTTGTGTGTAAGGAAAACAGTATCAAGTAGGAGCTAAGTCTTGGAACTTTAATGTGAGTTTCAAACTTTTTCAAAATAAAATCCTCTCATATTTTCTAGCCCTTTTTAAGGCACAGGATGATGTGATGACAATGAAGATGCAGTCGGAGAGACTTTCAAAAGAGTATGACCGACTCCTAAAAGAACACTCAGAACTTCAGGTCAGTGACTAACACTTTACAGATCTAGATTTTTTAAAAATATGAATTACTTGAGGAAATTTTTTTGGATAACTTCCCTTAAAATTATCGTCTACAAATCCAGATGCTGTACTTAATCCTGGTTTTGTTAAATGATTAAAGAATCCAAGTTACGTAGAGGATGAAAATCAGGACAGTACAGGAAAATACGGGATAGCCGCAAAGAATTGCTGATATGCTAACTTACAGCATTCACACAGTGAAATTGTAACAAAAGTGGCAGCATTGAAAACCAGGCTGGGATCCTAGGAAATTTTAAGTTTTTCTATTTAGAATATTAGCCACTGTTCTTAACACTATTCTTACCAAAAAGTAATGTTCACCATCACATTTTTCCTTCTGCTTCAGTGTTTTAGGTATCTTAAGACAAAAGCCTATAACATTTAAATATGCAGTTTATCTCCATGACCATGTGCAAGATCCACTATGGGAACTAAAGAAGTCACTTTATACCAGGTGTCTCCCTTGGTACTTTTCTATTTCTGCAGTCAAGGTGTACTCAGCCAGGGCAAGTGTCCATACTAGGGTGTTCAAAATGTTTAGAACCTTGAAGAAAGGACAACCAGGAATATACCCTGCATTTCTTGTTGCCAGTATCCACTGCTTGCTGTCTCTTATTGTATTAACAGTACAATAATTGTAATTATTTTACTGTTTCTTTGGAAAAGGACCCCATCCCAGATATACTAAGTGCCATGCAAAGTTGGCTGTTACTTGGTAGCATGTTTAGGCCTTAGACTAATTTCTACTTGTAGTCCACTCTTGAAATATTTAATAGGTGACATTTACTGAGTGTATGCTCTGGATAGAGCTCTCAGCTGAGTCATGTATGCTGTCAGGATTACTTCCCATGATAATTCAGTAAAGTACGAGATATTAATATCTCGTGTTTGTGGGCTCAGACATCGAGAACCAGAAATGTTAACATAATTTACCCAAAATCATTGAACTAGAAAATGGCAATATTTAAACTTGGCAAAGTCAGGAAATCTTTCTCCAGAACCTCCAACTTTCACCATGTTCTCTCGCCTGTGCTGGAAGGGACTGTGTGCTCTTAGATCCATTGTCTTGCCCTGCTGTTCATTCCCTTTTGCAAGGAAGGGTTTCCCAAGTTCGTTTATTTCTGACTTCTGGGCAGAATTAGCCTGATGACAGAAGTGCTAACAGGAAACTGAAAGCAAGAGCAAAGAGAAAGTCAAGGATCTCTCTTCCACTCTTGCTCCTTGTGCCGTCTCCTTTGTGGCTCTAGTAGTTCTCCTTGGACCCATTCTAACTACTGGCCCTAACTCCTGGGCCCCCTGACAGTAATGTCCCTTATTCAGCCCAAGAGTGGTGGCACTTTTCTACAGTTGCTGATCTCTGAGGTTCCTCACCACCTGTCTGGTGGGTCTCTGCTCTCATTACCTGTAAAACAAACTCCCTGTAATAAATATCTTAGGTTGTAGGGTTACAAAACCTCATCTCCTGAAATCCTCAACTGAAGCATTTGATATTCATGTACCTCAGCTACTTCATTACTTAACTGAGGATTATAATACATTATGAACATCATGTCCAAGAAAGCACTTGAAATACTTTTACTACTATATCTTGATGGGTTACATTTTTTCCTATCCACCTACTCCACTCCCATTGTCCAGTGTAAGAATCCAAAATTTAGGTATCATTTATTTAGACCATTTTGTTACATATCTCTTGAATTTTAACATTCATCTTCAGAAAAAGCAAAAAGTAGTTGTAAACTATCCATAGTAAAAAGCTAGATAATTTTTCTTGTGAATTTTGCTTCAACTATCAACCTTAATAATAGGATATAAGGAATTGTTAAAACATTAAGAAAGGGGCAGGAGAGATGGCTCAGTAGAATAAGTGCTTGTCTGGCAAGCACAAGGGCCTGAGTTCAATCCCTGGTTCTACCAGAAAAGAAAAAGAAAACATTAAGAAAAAAATTGAAAGGTGAGAAAGCTGGCTTCTTTTCTGTAATCAAATCTCACTTAGCATTTTTTAAATCCATTAGGATTTCCCCATCTGGTCCCCTTCTTGTTACAGGCACTAAATAAATATTAGAAAACAGTCCCTTCAAAACATGTAGCTTTTGTCTTTCCTTACTTGCCCTGGCTGTCCTCCAAAAGAGGAGGAGTACTGATGAGGGGATACTGGAAGCACAGGTGCATCTGCCACTTTTTTAATTTGATTGTGGAAAATCACCCTTCACATAGCAGCTGGTCCTTAGAAACACTTCCATTCAAGTTTTCATTTTCATCTGAAGTGGCCTACTATGTATAAGCATATAAAAGTGAAATTTTGGGGGCCTTCCCATTAGCTGTCAAACTCAGGATGCTGTGGTTGTGGTTCAATCCCCTCACCCTCAAGCCAAACCAGACCTGCCCTGAAGGCAACCTGAGTGGCCTCCCAAAAAAAAATATAAATAAAAATCTTTCTGCCATTTTGGGGGCCTGCCCATTAGCTCAGGTGTTTAAGTGCCTGCTGAAACAAAGCAGTCAGGCTCAGGATGCTGTGGTTTGATC